ACACACACACACACACACACACACGTCAGAGCAGTGGCCCAATTAAAATGCCAACATGTACCCTACTATATCAGCCTCTCTGATCAGTGCATTAGTCTGTAGTAACAACCATCACTTTTGTAAATATGTATCTCACTTAAAGAACAATTATGCTCTTTGACTCTCAGAATCTCCCACTGAGGTTTTACTGAGGCTATAATGGATGTTCAAAAGCTTTCATATACACAGAATCAATGTTATTTTCTGTGACACCATTATAACATACAATTCGACTGACTGACTAACTGGTCATGAGACTTTAACAGTGAGCTGATCTGACTTCCTCCTCCCTCTCTCTTATCTGTTCCTAACTTTTTGTTCAGCTAGACCCCGGTCTGTGGGGCGTTAGTGGTGAAATCACATGGATCAAATGAGATTTGGCATGGTTTGCACAGGGAAGACAGCGAGTGTGCGAGCGTGCGTCTGCGTGCGAGGAGGCCTGTTTAAGGAACGTCAGCGGCGGGGGTCTCCGAGGGGCTCATCAAAGCATGCCGCGTCCACTGCAGCCCGGCGCTAAGCCCAAGTCAGCGCCTCATTGAGTCTGTGTGAATGACCCCGGGGGAACACCACCTCCCGCTGCCCCCATGCATTCCCCTCCACATGTTTGCTCTGCCCAGGGTGTGGCCCAGTTTGAGAGGATTACGCTGAGGAATGCAGCCGAGCCCATCTTTTAAAACAAGAGAGGAGAGGAGAAGGGGGGGTACAGGCCATAGGCATGAAGTCCATGTTCACTGAGGGTTCCTAAAGATCCAGCTAAATGCAAAAGCCCAGAGGGAGGCCGTTACAGTTAAATCAGAAGAATCTCTAAATTCAAAAAAGGGGGCTAAGGCATGTGTTTGAGTTTGATTGTCTGTCTGGATTGGTATCTATACTACCTTAGCCATTCAAACATTAACACTTTCCCTTCTTGCTGTGTTCCCTCGCTACTTTATTTGCAGGTTTCCGTCATCCCACGGTCCTCAAAAAAACTCTTCTGCTCTTTTGAAGCCCGGATTAAGATGTTCTTACAAAGTGGGGGAAACCAGGGCACCTCACCCCCAGGGGGGTTCTGCCGAGAGTCTGTGACACAAGTGAGAAAACACCACACACACACACCTGGAAGTAGCTTCTATTGTTGCTCCTGCTCGACCACTTTTCTTTTTGACAACCGCAACTTGACATGAAACATGATAGTGCCAGGATGCACGAACCCCCCCCACCCCCCGCCTCTTAGACTATTGAGGTCCACTCAGGCGTGGGGATCACCTGGTTAAATCCGAGTGGAGTAAAAAGAAACTGTGGGAGGAGAGCCTTAACAGACCATGGTGCTTATTTTTTAAGCATTATTTTCTTCATTTTTCAAATCTGCCCACGTGTGTTATGTCATATTTGTGCAAGCAGTCAAAAACTTAAATTGAGACAAATGCTCTAGTGGACATGAAGAGTCTTTTTTACTGCAGAGAGAGAAGCAGAAACATAAGCATCAACAGAAGGCTACCGTCAGAGGCACAGCCAACGTGACATCATCACATGACGGCTGGGATTGCAATAAGGTACTATCTCCCACTCCTCCCCCCTCCACTCACCCCCTCTACCAATATGTCACGGTTTCCATGGTCACACAACACAACAAGTATCTCAGGGCTTAAAGGAAAAGGCTTCAACCACGTCTCATCGTTTGTGATGCTGCTGGCCTGTATTCATCTGCTACTGCAGTGACTGATCTCAATGGAAAATACTTTAAATTATTTACTTGTCTCGGTTTACCACAATCTGTATTCTCTTAACACGTTTAAATGCATCATTCTGGTTGGTTTTAAGGAAATAAAGGACGTATGTTAGTAAAAATTGTGTATTTTCCTAAACATTTCCAGCTATTGTTGAGGTCACCACTGTCACATTTTCATGCCACAATGAAAATGAATGACGCCCAGTATTAGATATATCATGTCTACCAACCGAATGTGAATCCAGCGTTCGTTGGACAGAGATGAAGCAGCTTGTCCTATTTTGAGAAATGACAAATGTAGCATGGAGATACTATTTCTAAAACCCACATTGTAGAGCAGGAGGACACAAAATAATCCCCCAGGCATGACACTATAGAAGTGCTGAGAGCAGGGAAGTGCAGTCAGGACGCTGCAGGCTTTACCATCAAGAGCAAACGTAGCAGGCCTGACTCCACATCTTCACTTGACCTATGAAAAACACACTATCGGAAAATGCAAAAACACGTGTTTAGTGCGCGTTGTCTCGGAAATTTTGCTATCTGACATTCTGGATGCTACGCCCGTCCCTGTCCTTGGCGTGTGACTTCAATAAGGAGGGATGCACACGGGTGCAATAACTGAATTATGCTCTCAAATGTAATTTATATCCGGCGAAAATACACAAGGCTCTTACCGCACCTCCGCTCTATTTCTTGCCAAGAGCAATGACAGCAACTTCTCTGACTTGTCCCACTGCATTGTGTTTACAATGACACCTTTTAAAAGCTGCGCTGCAGAATATGATTGCTCGACAAATAGTCAGAAATACATTTTCATATAAATGTCGCAACACTTGGTAAATAAAATGTCTCTCCCCAAGAATACTTTTTTAACCTTTTGAACTCTGGATGAGGATTGTCAAACATGTCAAAAAACATACAAAATAAACCTTAAAACACACACATTTTGAGAGAGTGTGCCATCACCTCAGGAGTGTTCTTCCCCAACAATAAGCAGAATTCTTCACTGACTTGGCATGCCGGCCTACTGCTGCTTGACAAGTGCAACAACAGAGTTACACCTCCTACTCTACTCCTCTGGAGCCGTACCTTTCACTTGTTTATGAGAAGGACGCGTCTGATCATTGGCCAAGACACGCCTGGCAGCACACAACCCTGGCATGATAACCCTATCAGATGAGAAGACCCAGGAAGACGATACGGGCGTAATGGGGTGGAAATCAGCCTGCCGTGGAGCGAAACACATTTCCTAATGCATAATAAAGCATTCATTCTCTCAGCTGTCACGAGGAAAGTCTTGGTGGGAAAGGGGGCGAGTCGGAGTCAGAAGTACAGAGAATCCTGTATTCTCGTTCTGTCACCGGGTTTTATGGTGAAAACAGGGGCAGAGAGAGTGTGAGGGAGTGATTACAGTCAGATCTGTCTGTACATTTATCAATTTAGCTGCATTTTGGCTTATACAGAAGCCACTTTGTCATGGTGGCCGAACTGTCGAATTCAACATCCAAATAGCAGCATTTAGAAAGCCCTTATTTAAGATGCACTAACAGTCCAATCCAGAGTTACTTTCCTTGGGTAAAGTAACTTTACAGATCAGCTTTTCCCTCATTTTGTACTTTAAAGCACAGATGAAGCATGAGTTGCCAGTGTATTGCCTCAAAGCTTCTATTTGTAGTGGATACGTCCTGGAGAATCGTGTAAATTAAAGGTGGCACTAGTGTCCCAGTCATTTAGCTCCCTCCGTCAGGGATGACTGGTTGGAGTTTTCATGGAAACAGCAAAATCATATCATGTGTGGACTATCCATGTCAGGCCATCCGTTGCAAGGTGAGACAACAAATCGATCCCAGTTGGAGTCAGCTGTTCGCTCATTACGGTGTAACAGCAAGTAATAGTTCACCGAGCTTTACCATGAGACAGCTGATTGCACAATGAATGAACAAAACTTGTTTTCATAGTGTTGGATAAATTATGGACTGTGAGCAACTTGGAATAAATGGGGCTTTTACACAACCTTAAGATCTATATGGATTAATACAAAAAGTAGCAAGGCGTAAGAGGAGGGATAGTGTGTATAAATGACATCAGAATTGAGAGAGGGAATCTAGTCTCTCTGTTTTGACATTGACCTCGTACACAACCTTGAAAAATGTAAAATGCCCTCGCCACACACTGCACTGCTGTATATGTGAAATGCAGCTACAGTTCACACTTTAAAAGAAAAAGACTAACTACTCAGTTTCAGTGTTCTGCTCTAGTTTCTTTGGCTATTTATCATTGTCACCACTATTTTTTTTATATATATATATTTTTTTTATCACAGCTTGAAAATAATGGCCTGCTCTTGGGTGCAGTCATTTTATTTGCAGTATGAGGGGGCTTGTATGAAATGATCTCATTATAATTTCTTTCAAAGGGTCTGGCTAATTTAAGATATGTTGCCAAACTGTAAGGATGTCATTCTCATAAGAGGGGCCAGGGATTAAACTAGAGACCCGTATTACAGAAGTAAATACTTCAACATGGTCTTAAGGCCTTGAATGGAATTACATATCAACCAAATGTCAATAATAACAACTAAATCTATTTAAAAATCGAGATGATGTCACATAAAATGCCATAGTTACAGCTATTCTTGGATCATTGAGATAGAAACATTGCAAAACAAGCTGTGGCTGTTCATGTTGATGGTGAGATGTGAGTGGCAGCTGACATGCATCCAGAAATAGAAGCCCTGGAATGACTAAAGGCGATCAGATGTTCACCCTCATATACAAATGATGGACAAGGTACGGTAACATTTGAAGAACTTATCGCATAAAAAACTTGACACACACCTGTGGTGACAGTGAACATGACAACAGACCTCCTTGGCCTTTCACTTTATAGGTCAGACTGCTCTGCTAACTGCAGCACAGCATGGAGACCTGACACACATGCTAATTTGAGCAGACAACCTACACCCCCCGACCATTAGAACCCACAAAGCTGTAACATTTTATGTCAGATACTATATCGGTACCGCAGAGGTGAAATCTGATTTCTCATATTTGCTTTACCTCATGACAGTTCCATGAGGTTGTGTGAAGAGAAGTGAATTGAGAGTAGAAAACATGGTGATCTTTGCAGTGTTACCTATTGGCCAGGCATTCATTGCTTAAATAATTTATGTTTTTACCTATACTAATGGGGAAAACATGGAGTTAAAGTAGGGGATGGATCACAGCAGTAACCTACATTTAACAATCCTTACCTTTAACGAGTCAAAACAGGCGATCACCCTCCCATTTTCCACCTGGCAGCTTTTGGGTGGGTGGGCAAATTTGCATTCCTCATCGCTGCGTGAACAAGTCCCTCTCTGAAACTGCCGGCACACTTCCAGGGTCAGCCATTTTGTGTCCCGTATCGAGGCAATGTTTAGAGCCATGGCAGCAGCAGTGGCTGTGGAGCCGGGTGGAGCGGGGCCACTTGGTTTTTAAAACGAGGCGATCCTCTGAGGAGGCGTTGCAGAGTGTTCCAGTTAAAAAAAATTAAACGCACAACAACTAAAACTGATGGAACATGCAGCTATAAAAGATCTGCTTCAGGTCAGCGGATCAGGTTTGTCCTTGTGGACAGGAGAGTGGAGGTAATGGACTGGCAAAGTCTCTGTGACCGGAGCATGGGACTGCGCTGCTGTTTGGGAGTTTATCAGTCACTCAGATAATTGTTCTTCAATCAGTACGTCTCAGGTGCAGACCTCTGACAAGACCAAGGGGGCATAATCAGGGACAATCTCTACTGGTAGGACCAACGTCCCCAAAAATGACCTTTGTATGACTAATGATGTGCAACGGTGGATGTTTGGGAGCAAAAGTAGAGCAAATTTTAGATGCACAGGACACTAAATGTGTGGCTTTCTGTTAAAGTCTTCTGTACCTCCGCTCCCCGAGCTTTGGCACGTTGGCCAGCAGTGCAGTAGCTCCAACGCTTCACTTGGGGTTTCTTCACACAGAGGACAAACAAGCAGGTCAAGGGTGTTTAAGTCCTATCACAACTGCAGAGGGGGAAAACCTGGAGCTCTTCAGGAGCCCCGAGGGATCTTCAAGTAAGGATGTCTTCTCCCAAAGGCACTTTCCGATATCTGGAATGGAGCAGAGAAAGAGACAACAGTGTGAGAAAATTGTTCGCCAAATATGATGGGCAATACATTTCAACTGGCATTAAAAGGGTTTTGTGTACGCATGTCAATCTGAATTAGTGTGCCCCGGAGGACCTCTAAAGGGTACCGGGCTGATGAACCAGGGAAAAGGCAGTTGGGAGGATGTTCAGCCGCACTTGAGTTTAAGTCCCCAGATCGCTGCTGTGGGCCATTGTACGAGGTGACTACATGCCCACTGGCTCTCCAACATATTGCGCACAAAGCGGTGAATAATAAAACCCTGTGTGCTATGAGACCGTGGACAAGAGCGTGGAGTCGGGGCAGAGATAGAGAAAAGCCCCAGGGTCCAACCCGCCCTGTAGAGCCATGCACGGCGGGACCGGGCAGCCAATAGAAAACCGCGCAGCGCAGCACTATTCCGGGCAGCCATCCAGCAGCCACAGAGGGACCGAGACAGATGCATATGCCAGCGCCAGACGCGATTATGACGCTGCCTAGTGTCCCGCAATACTCACTTGTCTTGCACTGTCCAAATTAGATACTGGCTCATTGGCAGAGGCTTGTCAATTTACATCCACGGGGGGAATGTGCGCCTTGTCCTGTATAGGTACTGGTCTCTGTCTGGAGTCGTCTAGGGAGAAAATTGGGACAATTGGTGGAGCAACAATCTGAGGAAGTGACCTTTAGCTTGAGCGTACGAAAGCCATTACTAAGCTACTGCGCAAGGAGCTCTTTCCTTGGCACATCTGGAAATGTTTTTCTGCTAACTGGGGGCGGGAAAAGGGGGTTGAAGACACCAGCCTGCGGGAGGAGAAGGGTTGTAAAAACATACAGCTCGGGTTAAAAGATTCCCCCGTTACTGTTTGGAACATATAAACCAATGCACGGAAAACAGACCAGACAAGGAGCAAACACAGAGAAAGTGTTAAATACTGTCAGAACCACATCTTAAACAACCTCTAAAAAGGCACATGACAAGTTCAGGTGGTCTTAATGAAGGCTTGTTGAGACTTGTACTCAACCCATCAATGCTACTGTAAAGGGAAGAAGAAATCCCTGCAGAAATTCTTTTCACAGATACACAGCTGCCATACAGCTGTGCAGGTCTTGTCAGATTTAGGTGAGGCTCGGCACAGAAAGGTCCATCGTATCTTAACCTAACCTATTTTTGTCCTTTTATCTTGTAAAAGTAAAAATCATCTTGGACTGAAACATGTTCTCTCTCTAATTGGAGATTTCTGAACTCAGTTTGAGGTCTGAAATATCAAATAACTCAAAAAGGCCACAAGAACAAGACCCTATATCCTCGCCAATGAATGATAATGATTTGCCTGTCACAAAGAAAGGTAGATGCTACTCTTTGTAACCATTATACTGTTCCAAGCCTATGAATCCAGACCATTGTCTAGCTAATCATATTGTCCCACTTTAGTGCTGATCATGTGTAATGAGATGAGAAGCTTCCTCGCGCAATCGTACTGACGCCCAGGCTCCGCTCTCCGAGGCAGGATTTAATTTCACACCATCTCCCCAGGGAGAAAGCCAATCGCTGCAGAAGAGAGTCAGGTAAGAATCATGTCAGATCTGACCTTTAACAATTAATCCCTTCTTATTTTTAGAAGCCATAAGAAGTCTGTTATCAAGCTAACCTACTTTGTCGGAACGTGTGAAGGGCCGATGGCGCCATTTCTCTGTGAACTGTCCTGGCCTCAAGTTATGCTAAAATTGTTAGGGGGACACAACCATAGTTTTTTATATTTGTGTTTGGAAAGCTGGGGTTTACTGGCTTACAGTAGCTCTGAAAGCTTTCATGAAATCGAGTAGGCCGAGTGTGGATAAAGGTTGGTTGAGGTCATCTGAAAAGCTCACAGGGTAGCCGGCTCAACAGGCAACACTCGAACAATGTTTGTCATGAGAGGTATTCAAAACAAATGGTGATGACTGAAGATCAAAAACACCCTCATGTGGGCGATGTTAGGATAATAATCATGCAGGAACATGACCACATGTCTGTTCCCATACAGATAGACTGTTGAAGGTTTGTGTAATATCTAGAAGCAGGGAAATTGGACTGCTGCTGAAGCAACTTGTTTCCTCATTATTATGGGAGCTGTTATTCACAACATCTGGCCTTTTGTATTAACTTGACAGAAAGTTAATCAGATACAATTAAGATAATCTATTCAAGCATTTAGTACGTTACTGAAGTTGAAAACACACATATGTCATGGGAAAAAAAACCTGTGATATCATCAATTTGTGGATGTATATGTTTATATATATTATCATAATATAATTTGCAGTGTGCTTCATCCAATTAGCTTTAATGAGATGGATGTGTAATAGAGAAATAACGCTGTCGTAGCATGTTAGCTAATGCTAGGCTGTCTTTAGCAGAGATGATTGAGGCATCCTGAAACATATCAAAGCCCCCTGCTGGAAAGTAAACTGTCATCCCGGGGGGAAAATGTTTACCTCGCATAACAACATCCTAGTTTAACAGCATGAAGAACCCAAACACACAGTGGAAGAATATAATGAGGAATTTGGAAAGCTCAAGCTGAGCTAAGTTTCGTCTTTTGGACAGTGTGCCTCTGGCTTGGTTGAGGCTAGCTTAGCTTCTGCTAGTGCATGATAATTAGAGAACATGCAGACTGGCTTAGTTTATGCTGAGCTTAGCGGTGGAGCTTCAAGCACAATGCCACTAAATGAAAAGGGAAAGACAGATGGTCAGCAGGTAGGAAGGGACCATGCAGCGGCCAATGTTCCGACCTGGGAAAGAAACACCCTTGACTTACCAGGTTCTGTTTTTGCAGTTTTTAAGTCCTTCTAGGGACTTGTCTTGTAATCTGTTTTCAGCTACACAGGACTACTTTTTGAATAAACCTCAAGAGCAAATCCTGTACATCCCTGTGTATCCTGTTTATCTTAACTTCCTGAGGCTTTGTTCCCTCTGTATCCTCAGTACAAACAGTGGACAGACATGGTGACCTGATAAAGAGGGCAGAGATGTGAAGAAAAGCACCACAGTACTAGACGTTATGGATTACTGACGCTTACTAAGGCCAGCTGGCAGGGGCATTATCTTGGTCAGTCTGCTTAATTGAATGAGAGTCAGCAGGACTGGGGCGACTGGAGTGAAAGTCATTGGCTTGACCTCTGAATACCACGCATGTAACCCATTAGTGTGGTATCTGAGCGCTGGTCTGTGCGCTACAGTTTATCTCAGCTGCTTGTATTTGCTCAGCAGAGACGATAAGCTACCTGCTTTCCATTGGTCCCGAGCCTTGTGACAACGTTTGCTGTGGCATCAGCCAGGTGTTGCCAGCAGAGATACTAATGACTGTGACAGACAGGCACAGGAGCTGGGTACCTGAGTGGCTGCATTTCCATTTATTACCATTTCATGCTGGAAAACCCACACTTCTATGGTCATTTGCATTGCCAAGAGGAACAAGTGGTCAATGTTTTTCAAGGCTGTGGAGAGAGGGCCTCATTGTTCAAGTGAAATAGGAAAATGTTCAACTTCCAGTGAGTAATGGAAAATGAACGAGGCTCACAGTAAAGGTTTTATCAAAATGTCCCTAACCTAGCTTTCAGGGTGACATCACCAGCTTGCACAAATGTTCCCTTGCAGCCTCCAGGGAGGATCAGAGCAGGGCTATACCATGCAGCCTAATTCCCGTTTAATACTACAGACGTTATGACGCTTATGAAATTGTCTTTGGCATAAGCTACGTCTCCTTGAGTGTAATATCATCAAGTGCCATTAGTGATAAGGATGCGTGAGTGAGCTCAGTGGAAGATATACCAGGACTAAGCTATACTGTTTGAAAGGAGACACAAGAAGCATTTTCACACAGTCAGCAGAAAGGTGTGCCCTATATCATAATAGCCTTAGCTAAACCACATTGACCCGAATGGCCGTGCTCATTATATCGGAATGGCCTTTTCTCTCCTTATTTCGTAACACAAAGCATTTGACCCTTTCCATCTTTTCTACGTTTTTATAAGAAAGAGTGTGGGTTGGATTTCCCCTGCACTCTGTAAATGGACTTGTTTACTGTGTAAGTGTTCTTGTCTACTCAATGCTTAGCCACAGGACTCAGGCAAGTCATCAGCTAATTACAGTATAGTTGGCAGCCAGAGGTGAAAAGCGCCAATCTGATAAACATGATGATTAACAGCATACTCAAGATCTAAGGTGAAAATTGTAGAAGCACTACATCAACAGCGGCTGTATTTTGATAACTTCCACTGAAATATTAACCTAAACTCACAGAAGGAAAATACTACGTTAGATTACAATTCTTGTACTTTTGAATAAGAGGTGAAATTATTGATATCTTCAGCCGTTAAATTACAGTCCTTGAAAACACAAGAGCTGGCTGATTCAGCACACTCACCCTCGTGTCACAGAGTAATCAGACTCCCTCTTTCATGAAGAAAATGTCTGAAAAAACCTACCGACCACTAAATCCTTTTAATACCATCTCGAGATGCAATTTGCATGAGTCGATTCAGAGAAAGGGGATTTCTGTCTGACAGGGTCGTGCTGTAAAAGGCTCGGTACTTGTCTGAGACTTATCCCATTCTTTTCTCAACAGGAAGGGCTGAACTGATGTTCCATTTTAGAAAACACCCACTTCCCCTTGATTCACAGCCAGATGTATGACACCACCCTGGCCTTTTCCATGCAGGCGCTGATGTCCACTTTACTGCTTCAGGCCCATCGTCTAGCGCAAAGCTAAATCTGGATAGACAGCAGAAAGCCAGGGACACGTCGACCATGCCCCATCTAACTCAAAAGGTTAATGATGATGTGGGCCGTATTAGAACTGTGAACTTCCAGCGTATCAACTATGAGTGTCCAGACAAGAGTGTAAAACCCTGTTCTGAACACACAATCCCTACCCTTGTTATTTGGAAAATGTGTTACAAGGAAAAACTTTGTAGGAACAAGGCAAGCAGTGAAAGAGCAGATGCTAAACAACACAAGTTTTTCTCTAGAGAGTGAAGAATATGAAGCCCATGTGGCAAAAAAAAAAGAGCTTCTGACATTTGCACTGAGGACGGGGCACTGCTGTGATAATGCCTCTCCCTCAGGAGTCGTATGAGAAAGTCCATTACAGTGCTGGAACCTGCAATAAGGGTAGTTACTGCGTGGCTGCAAGTACTCTGTGCATTAACCCAACACACACACACACTATATATATATATATTTTATGCCCCTTTCTTTCCTCAGTTCAGCCTTTCACTCTCACAGATAAAACATTCCCTCTCCTCCCTCCCCACCCAGACTGGTATGCAGCACACTGCAGCAAAACTCTTTGAGAAAAAACAGAAAAAGGCAGCCAGTATGACCGTTCTCTCCCACCTGGTTCCACTGGGTCCTGCTTTGAGCCTCTGTCTGTCTGCTGTCCCGAACACAGGAGGCACCGGTGCTGCTGTGACACTGAGCTACAGTGCAGCGTTCCCTTCAGCGCCTGCGACTGGAGTTAATGACCATGTGAACTGTTGTCATTCCTCGCGAGCTGCCGAGTGCTGCAGCTGGAGGTCCATGCCTAGACAGGGATTTTCTCTAAATGTCTCTCTCTCTCTCTCTCTCTCTCTCTCTCCCTTTCGCTCAGCAAGCAAGCGAGCGAGGCAGGCAGGCAGGCAGGAAGCAGAAGAGTGTCTACTCCAACTATCTGGCTAAAACACTTCCAGCCTCCCCCCCACACCCCTAAAGCAAGCCTCTTCCTGCCCACCAGCCTGTAGCAAGGCCCTGCCCCTTAACAGCTCCAGCCAATAGGAACACAGCCCCCCTGTATCACAGCTTTCTGATTGGAACAGAGGAGACTAAGTGAAATCTGTGCTTACAGTAACAACCTCTGAATGCTCAATTTAAAACGGTATTTCCCCAATTCCATGCTCAACTTTTTTATTTTTTTATTTAGAATCTGCACCCCAGGAATTGTTTTCTAATAGAAAAACAAAGACTGTACTTGTTTCAGAAAACAGCAGTATGAGTAAGCAATAATCAAAGAGTTGCTGCAGTGGCATGCTGAACATCAGCCATGTCCTTGTCTATGTTCTATCATCACATTTAACACCATCCCCCCAGGAAACAGGAGCACCACACCTCCTCCCCCTCCCTCTCGACTCTCCTCTACCTCCCCTCACCATCCGTCCTCTAAACTCATCTACTCCAGACACTCCTCTCCTCCCCACATCTCTTGTCCACCCCTCACCTGTGCATTTCTCTACTCAAATATATCTTTCAGGCTCTTTTCCAATCACATTTTACTGGACTGGAAAATTGGACAGTTCTGTTATTGTTATTGCATCAGGAATAAAAAAAAAAGAAGATGTGTAGGGGCTGGGAAGTGGGAGTCTTGCTCTGTCTCCTCCCCCACTCGTCCTCTCCCCTCCGCCCAGCTGATGACATGCTGGTTGGCAACATATGAGCCGTGAAACCGGAGCGTCACAGAACTGATGAGTCAGAGATCCAGCTTCATGACTTTTCGATCCAGATTCAATAGAACAGCTGTACCGTCTGTCTCTCCCTCCCTCCTCTGCCTCTGTCTCGTACAAAGGTTGTGAATGACGCAGCAGCCTGGGTGTTTCGTTGACATCAAAGAGGCGAAACATGCTTTACAGTCCCATCATAAACAAACCGTTTGATTATGCTTTAATGGCAATAAATAATCTGATGCTCCGCAAGGAAATTGATTTGTCAAATGGTTTAGGGGAGATGGGGGGGGATTAAAATCTCCAGCATGATAAATTGTCTACCTCAGCAAATGAAAACTGACGTCACCCTAGACATCAGAGCACCTGTAATGAAATAACACAGACAAGCGCTCTTCCATTAAACGAACAGGGAGGCGGAGGGGGGTGTCAGCCTCTGTCAAAAGCAAAAGTGTCACCTTCCACCTTCCTGGAATGAAGTCTCACTATGCCATGCAGCAGTTTAAAGGAGCAGCAATGCTACAAAGCAACAACTTGGTATTACTGCAGGATAAAACTTGACAGTTATGAAAATGGGCTCATTATGTTAACATGTATCCAGAACCACATCAGTTGGACAGGCAAGGCTGCTCCACCATTCCGGATACATTCTCAATTTCTCATTTGGCTGCAACCGATTTTTCAATAACCACATTAGTGAATAACTGTCAATAAATGAATAACACGCCTGCTTTTGCTGTAGCAAATGTCCGAACAGCAGACCTCAGATAGCCTACCGTCTAAATAGATTTGTCTGACAGGAAAACAAACAAAAGGCCGGTAGACAAACAAGCTGAGGCACTTCCTTTCCACATGGTACCCCCTCCCCTCTTATTATCCCTGTCCTGTATGACCGCAAACGGCTAGGCTCACTCACACACACACACAAGCAGATTTAGGAGCCCAAAGCAGCTTCATTTTCAAATACAATAGGAGTATTCCAGAACAATGGCTAATTACGGCAAATGAAGATGGTTAAATCTGTCTGATATTGGCCCCAAGTACAGAATACTGAATTCTGTGGCACTACTGGATAGTTACACACGACAGAGGGAAAAAAAGCAGGGCTCAGAAATAGGGCACCGAAGACAGATCAATGAAAAGGCAGCTGTCTTTTTCTATTATTAGCCGTAATCAAATATGAAGCGGCAGAGAGTTGCGCTTCCTCCCTTCCGCTTGAAACCCATTCTGGTAAGTCTGACACACAAGTCCACATGATGACAGAAAATAAACAATGGGCTGACAGATATGTGTTTTGGAGCCGGTTCAAGGCTGTGGACCAAAGATCAACCAGGAAGTACTGGATTATTTGCATTAAAAGTGTTATTGGGTGGGGTCAAAATCGTTTCTGTATGTTAATCTGATGCTAATATGACCCTATCAAACATTATTGCCCATTTTTTTCCCACTGCTAATTATACAAAGTACATTTTCTAACATTCATAATGCACTGTGGATTGCTATGTCTTACTCAAGTGAACATGTTGCTGTTATGGCCTTAATGAACACCACATATTCCACACAGACGACAAGCCAAAGTTATTCTGTTCTTAGATGTTAATTATCATTTACAGGACCAACGACTGTACATGACCTAGCAGATAGTCTAATCACAATTTATTAACCTTACCCAGGTAGAAGGGCTCCTGCTTAGCCAACCTGCAGTAGATTAAATTGTGCTTGTCTCAATTGTCTCATTAGAACAGTTTTATTTGTTCTTGCACATGGCAATTAAATCCAACTATCCATTAATCAAGGTGCCATTAGTTAGTTCTGGGTACACTGTAACACGTGTGCACCTAGAGGCATGATGACAACTCAATTGTTTTATAATGTTGATTGTCATAAATGGAATCAATAATAAATTGGCTTTTAATTAACCTATCCCAGATGAATGTTGACATTAATGACCATAATGACATACATTATTGCCAAAGCTTTGTACAATAGCGACATCTATACATAAATATACATTTGAAAAGGTACTGATAAATTCATAAACATTTTTGAACAAATGCAAGAACATGTTTTCTTTACAAGGAACACAATATTATTTTTGAACATGAACTAAACGAACACACCTAATAGAGAAAGTTAATGTGAGTTATTGAGTATTGTGCAAGATAATGCTGAAAGTTAATTAATTTAATATATAAATAAGAAAATAATAAGAAAAAGACGTGAGATATGAGACCTAGCAAACAGCATGTCCTAGAAAGCATTACATATGACAGTGCAGGAGAGAAACACTACGCATGCTGATTTTATCTTGCTGCTTTCACTTGTTTTCATTAGCTCTGTGCAATGATTATGAGATAGCATAGCAGTCCAGACTTTAACGCATACTGTTAATGATACTTGACTGGTCTCATTGCACCTATTTTAGCCACCTCTGCTGTCCAAAAGAGGCGTTATGTTAACCAAGTGTGTGCATAAACACCAGAGGCAAATGATGCTATGTGCTAAGCTAACTACCTGCAGCTTACCTGATGACGAACCTGTCACATCCAGCTGCACTTCATCCGCTTCTCCAGGGCGCTATTTCGGTTGTAACGGGACCAACAGGACGGCAAAATGTGTCTTCGTGTGAGACTTCTCCCAGCTGCAAACTTTTTTCGCTTTCGAAATAACGGTGCACGGTTTTTCAGTGAAAGGCAGAAGTAAGCTCACTACACGCTAGCTCGCTAACTACTTTTAAGGCTAGGGTAGGAAGCAACAAGCGATTTTGACAGTTCGAGGAAAGGTCCAATGTGCTTTGCTCCGGGGTGGTACTAAGGTCTAAACATTAAAACGCATTTATTCTAAAATATGTAACATATTATATGCGGCAACTAAACGCCACGTGGTGTGAACGTAGAAGGTGCTGGTACATTTCGTTGAATTTAAACACGGAAATTCACTTATTTTCGATAAACACCGCTATTACCACCCTCCAGTGAAGTTGGTACAGTCCAAACGAACCAAGGGTAAAGGGAGGGGGTGCTTGTTACCTAGGAAACAACAGTGAATCTCCCTGGGGAAAAAGATGTGGCCACTGATTTATGAACCAGTGACTGTCTGTCTGTCAAAATAGCCTGCCATCGACAAAATAAAAACATTAAACACATTTGACAAGCCCTATCGCAATTTATTTTTAAAATACACTATTCATTCTTATAGAAATTCACACTTTTACTTGACTTATGTACACAGCAACCTCGTCTAAGACATGATTATTAGATGAATAATGGTGTTATAATATTTTAATAAAGCCAGAGTAATTGAATTGAATTGGATTACATTACTTTCATTAATATACATCTTTAATATTTATGTTATACTTGTAAAGGCACACAATCACTATTACTATGTCAGGACCAAAGCAAAAATGCCAGAAAGTACATTTAATTTGATTTATCAGCTGATCAAAGACTCTAAATCAGCACATCGTCACCACTTGATGCTGTGCAGATTAGCATGCACATCCCAAACATTTTGCAGCCTAATTGCATGCAGCTGGCTGGATTTAGCCGTCTGTGACACACAGGGACCCGTTGTCAGCAAGAAGAGCATCGAGTCAACAAGGAGCAAGTCACAAATATCCCCGGAATGAGCAGAGAGGCACAAATTTAGCCCCACTGACTGCTGCCCACGCCATGCGAGCCTATTGAGCACATGAACAATGAACAGCCATCACAGACTGCTCTGTCAGGGCCAAGGTCTGCTTTAGTGGAAGGCTGCTGGGGATGAAGGCATCACACTTCTGTCAGGACATTGACGGTGTCAGAGATCAAGATGTTATTAGCCGGCAATGGTTTGATGTAATATGTCATGCAGGAAACAACCGTTGTTTGAAGCACAGACATTCACAGGGTCAATTTAATATAAATCATGTTGAAATACAATCAATCTAGGGTCAGACGGATGATGTTAACATGTGTTACTGCCTTGTGTCACACCATAATTCATCATGTGACACTTGACACACATCACACTGGTGGCACCATTCATATATGAGACACATTACCTCAGGCAGACGTGCTAAAACGGTAAAGAGAAGCAAAAAAGGGTCATTATTCTTGTTTTTATCCTTCCACAGGGTTTTTAAGTTCTCCATCCAAATATAGCAAGTGAAAAAAGCAAAATATAACACATCCACAGTGCCACCATAGAAAAAACCAGTATTTTCAAGACGTAAGTGATCATGAAAAACTGCTCACATAGGTCAGGCTCTTCCCCCAAGGCCTCACGTATTGATCTCAATGCAGAGGAGGCATTTGTAAAAACGCTGCTGCCGGCATACTTCTTTAAAAGTCCCTGAACGCCCACACACTTGCAAACAAATGCACACTCTGCTGCTCACAAGAATACATGCTGCAGAAAAAATGTCAATTCAACAAGACTTTTTCATTATTTTGACATGAAATGTAGTTTGAAGTTGTTGCATTGATGTAGGCGGAGGGTTGAAACAGTGTGTCATTTCTTCCTGCCTGTTTTTATACGAGACAAAGCCATTTAAGTGAAGGATTGTGTTTTTGAGTGTGAACAGCCTACTTATTTTGGACTTAATTTGTAAAAAGTTTATCTGGAAACAGTTTGCAAATTTTTAAAATCACATTTAGGCACTCACACACGAGCAAAATAAAAAGGAACCGAAGCAGATGCCTGTATGTGTGTGTTGCGCTCATTAATGGGTTTTGGCTCCACATTTGTTGCAGTTGCAGTCTGTTGAGTGGACCTCAGGATCAACTGAGGGGGCGTCAAGCGGGAAAAAAACAGCCGCAGTATCTACAGAACACCGTTGTTAGTTCCCCTTAAACACAGAATGAAGAGATCACGGAGGAAAACACAGAAGGCAGTAAACACTGTCAGGCAATATGTGAAGACACACACACTCAGGCCAAAGCTCTGACTCTGAGGTCCTTCTGCACACACGCTCACACACACACACACCTACACACAGTGGGCAAAGCTCTCCCGTCAAGGACAGTATTGATCTTGGAAACACCAAATGAGCACACACCTGATTATGAAAGCTTTTAACCCAAATGCTTAATGCAGCGCAGGTCTAATGGAAAGAGCTTATGGCTGGCACAAAGCTCAGTAGACAGTGTGTGTTTTTGTGCACGTACTTTAGTCAATTTGATAGATTGTAGGCAGATCACATGGGCATTTCACTCCCTCTATGACTTTGATGAGCATTTTACTAATCACAAGGCCTAAGTAATGATGGATTGAAGATGGTCCTGCTGTCATTAAACAAACTGATCCCAGAATGCACGTACACCGCACCGGGAGAGCTTATTCACACAACGAGAGAATCCATTTTGAGGCAGACTCATTTGTCCACCGAGAAAACACTAGTTATGCATCACCATAATTCATCTGCCGAACCATTTGTTCATATTGCTTCCTCTGTTCCTCCAGGAATTCCATTTCAGCAAAACGGAAGATACTGTAGAATCCGCACTGAATCATCCGTGAGTTCATTTACAATCACGGAAAAATAGCAACCCCAAGGTAGAAATACATTATTGCATTTTACTCAAAGAAACAGTATATTAGTATTATCAGATTGTGAAATGTTGTTCAAAGAAGTGGAACAAGCTAGTAAGTGAACTCAAGTTGAAGTAATAGTCTTACAATATGGGAAATATGGCCTGTTAGCATTGCTTAGCGACAACACAGGAAAAAGTGGGAAACCTGTGACCAATGATAGCAAAATAAAACATGTAATGGATATTTATGGTCAAGCACAGTGACTTTCCGGCAAGACGAGACAAAGAAGACTCATAATTTGACACTAGTCGTAGTCATTTGATCCATTGTCAATATAGAAATATTGATAAGTGCAGCCTTCCTATTTCCACCATTGGTTTCCTGAATTGATTGATCAAACAGTGGCTAATATTTGAAACCCTGGCACGTAGATCCATAAACTATGCTGATGATAGATGCTCTATTTGTGGGAGCTCATTACCAAAATACAGTGTGCATATTCTGGAAAAAACATGCATTACTCAATGTCTCAGAAATATAAGTTCCACTCTGAGCAAGCAGACTTTTATCAACCAAGGAACCACGTTATATCAGCATAATATTGCTGATTTTGGAATAATGACAGAAATTAAGGAAAATATATGATATTCCACCAAATTAGGATTTGCCATTTCATACTACAAGTGCCCTATGTTTTCAAAGGGGCCCTATTTGTTTAAAAATCTTGTCCCATAGGAGAGTAAATACAATTATGAAGGATGGCATTTGATGAGAGAAGACAGATATGCCGTAATTGTGAGAGATGAGAATTTTCGAAAATGTCACATTACCATGACAACTCAGCTATTGTCATGTCAAGGTTGCAGTGTGAGGAGTTGAGCTGCAACCAAACGAGACACTCGCTGTTGTTCTCCATCAGGAATGATTGCAATAAATCCTCTATTTTCTACAACCCATTATTCGCCACTAAAATGGAATTGTTCCCTGAAATTGCACGACCAAAAATCAATGTCATCAGCTCTGGCGCTCTACAGTCCAAAGTGCATCCAAATACAGTAGAGGTGTTTATATTATTCATGAGATCCAGGTTCACACAAGGCCAGCATCTCGACCCAGACTGCTTAATGGCCGCTCCGCCCTTCATCACGGAGAAGCCCGCCCTGTGATCCATGCTTGGCAGTCACTTAGCCCAGAGGATTGAGACTGCTTTGAAATATTCAATAATGCATTAAAGATCAGAGAGTAGTGAGCTAATTATGTCCACACACACACATGAACACAGAATGAAGTTGGAGGTAGCAATTAAGTATTTTGCACGCCGACAAGCTGTAATGAAGTTTTCGTGAATGCATGATTTTTCACCTCTCAAAGGCTACACCAGCATTTTTCTTACTCTTACCCCTAACATCTTCGACACTGTGGTGTGTACGCGCGCCTCTCAGAGTACCAGACAATAATAACCTATCTCAAGGCGACCCATCAGCTTGAAATATTGATGCTTTTGCTGCAAGGCTGCGGGGCTCAGCTGCAGGTTACAAGGACACTTCCAATGTCTCATAGAATATCAGACAACCCCCCCCCCCTCCATTAGCAAAGACATGCTGGCCTCACTGACTGTGGAACAAACTATGGACCTCTGACACTTGCCCAAACAAACGTATCAACAGCTTACACAACATCCCCCTTTCAGTGTGACACTTTAAATCCACTGTCTTACAGTTTTTCTCAATTGTACACACATATTTTCCTATGCAAACAATGTTATAAACGTGAAGCTCATGTATAAACAACAAAACTCCAGACTGCTCTAAGCACGATTATATTTGTTTGATTTAAATCAACCAGGACTGAAAACTTAAATTGCCTTTGCAAAGTTTCATTTAACTTCAACAGTTCTCACTTGAAGTGGAACTGCCATCAGGGCTCATTTGTGTTCACTTCACTCTCTTTATTAGTTGTTGCCTTTTGTAATCACATTCAATACTGAAATAATGAAGAGCCTAAAAACTGATTTGAACTCAGGGCCCTTCTACTTAAAGGGGCCGCAAAATTAGGTACGTTGTAAATCATAAGGTCCCTAACGTTTCAAACATTATAGGTCATATCTTTTTACATTTCTTGGGAAAGCAGCTTGTTGCAGATATCAGTGACATGAAACCATTACAGATAAGCACTCAGTGATTATAGGAGCACACACACACACACACACACACACACACTCTCTCTCTGCTCAGTGGATCAAACATCCATTCTTCTGCTAAATGAATCGCACACGCCATATTTCCCCTGTAATTATCGATTTCTAAGTGGCCTTGCAAGCATCATCAGTCAGAGGCTTCTTCGAGTACAGCAATTATTATATTACTGTAACCATGGTGATTTATTTGCTGTGCGATTTTCCAGTGGAAACGTATTTATGGATGAGAGTGGGCGGAGGATCTGCAAGTGTGTGTGTGTGTGCCAGGGGCTAGATCAAAACACACATGAGCCTTGACCTCTGATCTATGCAAAGTTCTGACTATAATCCAGATAAGATAAAAAAAAATATATATATATGTCGAGTTTATGCAGAATTTACAATGTGATGTATAACATTATTGCTTTTCGAGATCTTTTACAGGGACGTTATGATTATGTTGCTTCTTATTGGCAATAAATGAGATTCAGACAAAGATTTTACTGGCAGATATAAAAAAATGACTTATTTATTCCACTAAACTCCGTTTGAATTGTGGTAAATGTTCTGGATCATAAGAGATTAAAGTCTATTGACCTTTTTGAAGTGAATGTACCTGCTTGATATCTACATGCTTTAGTACACTTATAAGTGGGCTACGTTAAAGGTGGGGTAGGTAAGTTTGAGAAACCGGCTCGAGATACACTTTTTGTTATATTCCATGGAATGCTCTTAACATCCCGATAGCAATGAATATCTGAAGTGCTTTGACAAAAAATCCATTAAAAAAAATGTCATCTGTGGAAGCCGTAATGCTGTAAAAAGTGCGACCAATCATTTTAGCCGATGGCCTACCTGCCTTCCATCTGTGCACAAACTTATCTCGTGCCCTCATTGGTCATGTGTGCGTTCGTGTGTGTTGGAGGAGGGGCTCTGTAAGGAAGTGGTTTCTTCAAAATTACCTACCCCACCTTTAAATGTAATGTATTTGAGCTCTTGAACTCCATTAATGTATAGACTGCTCCATCTAGCGGCCATTTTTGGTACAGACATGCCTGACAAATGCAGATGTGATTCAAAACTGGCCATAGACTTCACTGTTGTCCTACATCAAGCAAGTAGACACAGAAAAGCACAGTCTTAAGATGAGGCTGGTATGTCCGTTGAATTATTGTCCAAACATTCAAAGCATGCACAACCTGCTCTCTTCAAATGCCCCCAGAGATTCAGTTAATCCACCTGTACAAGTCTTTTAATTCTGCCTCTGGATGATCGACCAATAGGAGACAGAACCGGGACACAGAGTTCTAATTAATTATCCTCTTTTTAAATCTAAGAAGTCTATTGTCTTTTCATACATGGAACACTTTGATGGTGTGTGCTGGTGATTTCCACATGGCAGTGTTGGAGGGCACGTACTCTCGCTTCAGTTCAGTTCAGGTAGACATTGCCAAACCATTCAAAGCAAATACATGAATAATGTTTTTGAAGACAGTTGTAACAAATGACATTCAGTGACGGAATAGTTTGGCAGTGCTTATTTGTGGGAATGTTCATTCAAGTCCCTGCAGGATGTTTCAGTGTTGGTGGTCAGTAACCCCTCTGCAGCAAATGCTTTAGATTTTCGTAATATAATGTAAACAAAAATAGTAAGAACATCATGTGTCACATTATTTTTAAGGCAGTCATTTCATACAAAGCAAAAGACCCGTAACAAAAATCAACATCTAACCATTTTAATGCACAGTCGTTGAAACCAATGCACAATATACGAAAACAAATCATTTGAACTTTGTTAGGCAGGCGACACCGACGATTAAAACGCTACTCTAATACTGGAATGCACAAAAAAACATGAAGTCAACTCAGGAGTGTGCCATGCTTCTCATACATGGTTCATTACACACTTCCATAGGCTATAATGTCCAGTGGTCTATGGCAAAGCACTTGCTGAACATCCAAAACATGTAAAACTGAGTAAGATTCACAATTTTGCAGTTTTCCTCTCATGACTATGTATGAAATAAAAAGGGATCGAGTTCAAGGAAGGTTTTCACTTCAATGTGTGTTGACTAATTAAAAACATTCCCTCTCAGGACACACACACCTCAGTCTTAGGTGTGATGAGCTTACCACCCTCAGCTGGAGGGCCCTCGGCTGCAGGGGCCGACCCCCCGTCAGGCTTCTCGGGGGCCACGCCCGCCATGGTCCTTCTGAAGAGACGCATGCTCATCTGCAGCAGCTCGGTGTCTACCACTGGTGTAGTGGGGTACTGCTTCGTAAGACCCTGAAGAACAAGCAGTCGATTTGAAAACATCTCAATACAGCAGAAATCAACCCAAAGGAGTTGCAGTTATTGGATGACATCTACCTTGTCATTTTTTAACAGCTGGCGGCGGATGGCGAAGTCTCTGCGGGCGCACAGGGCCTTGCAGCAGGGCCCGAGGTTCCTCAGTAATCCGGCCCTCTCCACCCGCCTGTTCAGGGCCGCCATGTTTAAAGCCCCCAGGTCATGCTCAAACAGCTTGTCGGCATCTGGCAGGACAAACATGACAAAGCATTAGACGCATGGTGATCAAAATTAGTAGTTTAATGTGTTACCATTTTAAAATGAAGGGAAAATAAGAAAAGCAGAAAGAACAAGGATTAATGTTGACGATTTCTCACCTTTAGGGTCGTCCAGCTCAGCTCTGCACACCTCCCTGACCTGCTCCAGGAGCTCAGGCCCTGCAAGTCTCTTCGAGATGCCCGCCCGAAGGAGCACGGCCCCTGGGGTGAACCGGAGCAGCGCGGCCCCTGCTGCCCGGGGCTCTGCCTTCTGCTTGGGCATCAGGCTGGACCAGTCCACATCAATGACATCCAGAGGACCTGGAACACATCGGGACTCAGTAACTGTACATTATATTTTAAAACACATTTACAATATAAACCTCGGATGTCTCAGAAAGGTTTCAATTCGATATGTATTTCCTGGTACCTGTAATTTTCTCCTCGTCCTGCTGATCTTCTTTTTTCTGGCTGTCAGCAAGGATCTCATCTAGCTCATCATCACTGATGGGTTCATACTCCTCGCCCACAGATGCAACTGACTGGCCATCGTCTTCTTTCCCATCATCGTCTTCTGAACACAGCACAAAAACATTCATTTAAAACAATGTTAGAATTTGGGAAGAAAATATCATCAAATGTTGTTCATCTCCTTGCCATCGATGCTGTCCGTCTTCTCCGGCTCACGCTGCTCTCCGATCAGATGGTGGCTGTTGGGTTTCTCCGTCTCTGGAGGGTTGAAGGCTTCTTTCGGCAGCAGAGTCTCATACTCGCTCCTCTCCGGTCTGATCATGTCCCCCCGCAGGTCCCCCCTCATATCTCCTCTAAGATCTCCTCTAAGATCCCCTCGTCCCGGCGCCCGGGGGTCCCCATGCGGCGGCAGGTCCATCATCATCCTCTCCCTCTCTCGATCTCCTCTGTCCCGATCCCTCTCTCGCTCATGCTGCTGAATGAGTCCTTCAGGGAGTAAGCGATCCCGGTCCCTGATGTCCCGCTCCCTCAGGAGGGGTTCCCGGCCGGGTCTCATCAGTAGGGGCTCCCGTCCCCTGCCGGGCCAGTCTCTCAGCTCGGGCTCCCAGTCTCTGGGCTGCTGCTGCAACGGCTGCTGGAGGAGCAGGGGCTGCTGCTGCTGCTGCTGCTGCGGCGGCGGCTGCTGCTGCGGCCGCAGATCCTTCCTGTCTCGCTCCCGCTCAAACGGCTCGCGGTCCCTTTCGCGCTCCCGGCTGTCGTAGGAGCCGGCGCGGGACCTGGACCTGGCCGGCCGCTCGGAGTCTGGAGAGCTGCGTCTGGAGCTGTGGCTGTGGGAGTCCTGCCGGTCTGTGAGACAACAGAGACAAGTCAGTTTGGTGTTTAGTCTACAAGCATGATCCTGGAAGAAAAGTCTATAAAGTTTCATGTGAATCTCACCATTTATTTATTACTACATAAACAGTGTTTTATTCCACTGTACAGTATCTCATTATTTTCACATGTTTATAGACTCCTGCATTTACCACATTATGCTCATTGTATTTTTATTTATTTACTTTATTTCTACTCAGTTTCTTCCTCTGACTAATGTACCTGAGGAGGTGCTGCGGCTGGGCTCTCCTCTCCTCAGCTGGTCGATACGAGACTTCCTCTCGACCCCCGGAGGCTCGTTCACCACCGGCCTCTCTCTCTCTCTTTCACGCTCTCTGTCCCGAGAGTTGGCGCCCTGCAGCCGGCCCCGACGAGCTCTTGGACCTTGCGGGTCTTCTCGATTGGCCGGCTCGTTGGAGGGGGATCTCAGGCGTCTGGACGAGGTGCGGCTCTGGTTGCTCCCCATGCTGCTGCTGCGCGTCTGCTCCGGGGGGAGTTTGCGGAGCAGGGTCTGGGACATGAGGGGCTGCGGAGTCGGCAGCAGGGTGGGAGTCTGGTCTTGGGGCAATAGAGGAGCGATGGGAGGAGGGTTGCCCCGCTCCCTGACCCCTCTGGGACCTGCAGCTTTCTTGAGAGGCTCAACAGGAGCCGGTGGAGCTTTTGTCTCCAGGGGGACTCCTCGGTCTGTTACCTCCTCATCTGACCAATCACTGAAATTGTCCATTTTGGACAGAGGAGACGGCTCTTTGTTTCCTGCAGCAGCACGAATATCAGGCCTCATTGAAGGCGGGGGTGTCCGGGGACCTCTCTTCTTCTTATTGTGAGGCTGAGGGGCCGATGAATCTTCCTCAGACACATCAGATTCTCCTTCTCGCGAGCGTTTCCTCTTTCGCTCGAGCGCCTTCTTCTTGGCCCCTTTCCTGGGCGAGTGTACGGGTGGAGGAACTTCTGCCAAGACGCCGGCCGGGGGCTCGGGGTTGAATCGATCTCCTGCAGCAGCCACGATGTTGCCACTAGCGATGTCATCTTCTTTGCGACCCTTCTTCAATCCCTTTCTTTGCGACTTGGTCTTCTTTTTGCCCTCCTCGTGGACAGTGTCGACGCTGACTAGGGCTTGAGGAGGCGGAGGAGGAGGGGGAGGGGGAGGGGGGGGGAGGAGTGGGCTCTCGCAGGTCTCTGCCTCTGCTTCGAGAGTCAGACGGGGGGTCAGCGAGGGGATCTCCTCGTCTGTCGCCTCTGCTCCGTTCCACGCGAGGCTCTAGTTCCTCGTGGCGGCTGCTGCGAGTTTCCCTTTTCTCCCCGGCCCCTCTGCGCTCCTCCTCCTTCCAGTGACTCGGTTTCTCCTCAGATACAGCAGCAGCCACCGGTGGAGTGCGCAGCAAAGGATCCTGGGGCCGCACCACCTGGCTCGGCAGACGATTCTTCTCTGCACCTGGAAATTAAACAAAACCACATCAGTATCTTTTCAGACCTACAGCAATCAACAGCCTCGACTCTGGGTGAGCGTTGGAAGTAACTAATGTGTGGTATTAGCTATAAAATGATTAACAGTGCAATGTTTTCAGGTTTTCAATGATTTTCAAGGACCATGACCTTTAGCTAATTTTCCATGACCAAAAAAAGTACTCTTTCTCAGCGGTACCACTGAAAATGGTTTATTTTAACATGGAACAGGAAAATAAGGTCTGCATATGAAACATGTTGTGCCTATCTAAATCAAATAGTAGGCTTACTAGCTTCTACTAAAATCTCTCACCAGCAAAACACCTCGCCAGTTAAATGCCATTTTACATTTCATTACTATACGATACAGTGTTTATTATCATTATAGTATTACTATTTCGGCGATTAGCTAAAATATAAATTATATTTGATGCAACTTTAGTTACATTTCCATGACTTTTCCAAAACTTTGGGAAAAATATTGTTTTCCATAACTTTTCCAGGGCCTGGAATTTGCATTTTGAATTTCCATGACTTTTCCAGGTTTTTAATGACCGTAAGAACCCTGTGTTTTAGATGCCTTCCACAATAAACAGAAAGTGTGTCCCTACTGTCAGATGGATGCGGACACACTGGGTTCGGGAGGAGGGGCGGAGGGTGGAGCTTGGCCTGCCCCCGGCCAATTGGGCGCTCACTCTTCTCTTCCGCACTGTTGTAGCCGTCGCTCTCTGCAGGACTGAGGTCACGAGCTGTGCGCTTCGGCGAGGCACGGGGGCTCGGGCTGCTCTCCACTCTGGGCCTCTTACGACTATGGGGAATACAAAAGGGTAGGATTATTAGGAAAAGGGCCAAAACGAACACTAGTAGTGGATAGAAACTATTTGTTATTTGGATACATGCCTGGCCTTCCTGTCGTCCCGGGTGTCTCGAACAGGTCGCTCGTCCCTGGGGTCATCCCTCCTGTCCCGTCTTTCCTCTCTCCCTCTCTCTCGCTCCTCCCATTCCCGCTGCCTCTCCCTCTCCCGCTGCTCCCTATCTCTCTCCCTGTCCCTCCTCTCCCTCTCCCGGTCCTCCCTCTCTTTCTCCCTCTCCTCGCGCTCCCGTTCCCTCTCTCGTTCTCTCTCCTTCTCCCGTTCCCGTTCCCTCTCTCTCTCCCGGGCCCTCTCCCTCTCCGCCTCCTTCTCTCGCTCCTTTTCCCTCTCGCGGTCTCGCTCTCGCTCCTTCTCCTTCTCCCTCTCTCTCTCCCGTTCCCTCTCCCTTTCTCTCTCTCTCTCTCTGTCCCGGTCGCGAGTCCTGTCGTCTCGCCGGTCTTCTGGTCGATCAGTCCGACGCTCCTCCCTCCTCTCCTCCCTCTCGGGCTCTTCGGCTCTCCCCTGGTGTCGGTTTGGGGAGGCTGCTCTTTGATCTGGAAAAACAGAAAGTAAAAGCTTAGACATTTTTTTTTTATACATAATAAAACAAATAAAAACAAAGTGCACCCTGACCTCCGGCTCTCTCCCGGATGTCTCTGCGCTCCCTCTCTCCGTGTCCTCCCCTCCGGTCGAACGAGGGGTCGCGGGCCGGCTCTCCTCTGCGCTCGCCTTCGTATCGATCTCTGTCCGAACCCCTCTCCGAGCTCCTTTCTGTAGCGCTGCGGTCCGTGCTTCTCTCGGCGCTCCGTTCCCTCACCGCGCTGCTCCGGGAGTCCCAGTTGTCATGGCTGCTTTCCAGTTGGGATCCTCGGGAGTTTCTGTTTGAGCCTGAAAGGACATCAAATATCACTTTAAAAAAAAAAGGGGAATACAAGCCTCTACCTGGGGAAAGCTACATGCGAGTATCTCGACATAAACATAAGATATATATATTATTCTGAAATGGGCCAATCTGCATAATGACTATTTGTATTTTGATGCCAATACTTTTTGATTACAGGACTTTGACATGTGAGCATTACTACATTACATTACATGTTAGACGCTTTTATCCAAAGTGACTTACATACTCAATACTGTGGGCAATCCCCACAGGAGCAATTTGGGGTGAAGTGTCTCAGGGACACAACGACATGCTGACTGCAGTGGGACTCGAACTTGCTATCCTCTGATTCAAAGATCAGCGCATTAACCCACTGCGCCACACGCCTCCCTACTACTTTAACAAGATCTGAATACTTTTCCATCCAGTGCTTACCTTTCTCAGATGTCTCAGTCCCACGTCCTCTCCCTCGCCCGTTCCTCTCCGCTCTGTCCGGCCTGTTCTCCGTCCTCGCCTCCGCTCTCCCTCCCTCCTCCCGTCCATGCCCTCTCCCATAGCTCCTGTCATCCTGAGCCGGCTCCTCCTTCCTGTGGGCCTCACTCCTTTCCCTTTCCTTTTCCTTTTCCCGCTCTCTCTCCTTCTCCTTCTCTTTCTCCTTCTCTTTCTCTTTCTCCTTCTCCTTCTCCTTCTCGCGGTCCCTCTCTCGTTCCCGTTCCCGGCGCTCTGGAGACTCTCGGCTGGGGCGGGTCTCCGTCCTGCTCTCTCTGGGGTCCTTAGCGTCTCTGGTATTGTCTCGGTTGTCACGAGAGTCTCGGGTTGTTTCCCTTCCTCTGTCGCGAGTCTCCCTTCTCTCACGAGCCTCTCTCGTCTCTCGGTCTTCCCGGGCGTCCCGTGACGAGACCTGCTCGGAGTCAAAGTCCCGGTCGTCGCGGAGGCCTTCCTTCTCACGCTTGCTGCGGCTTTCTGTTAATGACAGAGAAAAAACAACAAGTGATGAAGGAGATGATCATTTGATCAAGTCATTATCTAAATAGTTGCCGTCTCCACAAAATGGAGTTACCGTCTCTGCGCTCAGGTCTGCGCTCCTGGGCGGGGGGGCTCCTCTCTCGTTCCCCCCGGCTCCTCTCTCGGCCTCTCGAGTGCCGCTGGCTGGGGCTGGATCTGTCGGAGCGGCGGGGGGGAGAGGAGGCGTCGTGGGAGGCGAGGGGGGATCGGGAACGCCGGGAGCTCTGAGGGGAGGAGGCAGAAGCCGGAGCTGCTGCGCTGCGATGATAGGTCGGGGAGGAGGAGCGGCGGCGACGAGGAGACGGAGAGTGTCGCTGGGCGGAGGAACCAGAGTGGGAGGAGGGGGAGTGCTGTCGGGGGGGAGTGGGGGTGCGCTGGTGCCGTGGAGGAGAGGGAGACCTGTGGGGACAAAAAGGATGGTTCAAATAAAACATTATTGAATTGAATAATAACGAATAAAGCCCGCCTAATCATATACAGTGGTTGCTACACATTCATCTGTTTGAAACTTATATATATATCAACATTCTAATTACTTATATATAGACTATTCAGCACAATTTCTATTATATTCTATTTTATTTTATTGACTTGCACTATTATCTGTTGTATTGTGTTGCACTGTTGGAGGAGCCTGAGACCTAATCATTTCATTGTCATCACTACACTGTAGCTATGCACACATGACAATAAAAGCCTTGAACCTTACAACATAATGTCTGGCATGAAACTTGAAAAAGATCTGATATTCAATTCCATACGCAACCCTGGCTATGAACATTTTATACAAATATTTTTGACCAGAATAAACCCAGCACGTGCTAACCTGCGAGGAGGGGAGGCCAGCACGGGGGTTTTATGGGCCGATGCTTTAGGAGAGCTGGATTTCTTCCTGGCTGGGGGGGAGGTGCACCTCGAGGGGGACGACACGCTGCCAGATCGCTCCTCTGACGTCACTGACCGCTTGGCCTTGTGGGAACTGTCCGATCGGTCCCTAAAGGCAACACATGAATGTTCAAACAGGGATTTCTTGTATGAATGACCGCACTACTAAAAAAGAGTCATCTGAATTACACCACACCTGCGTTTCTCCTTCTTCTCCTTGTGTTTTTCTGCATCTCGCCCCTGATCTTTTGCCTCCTTCTGCTTCTCCTCTGACTTCTCCTTGTTCTTGTGCTTGCCTTTGTGTTTCTTCCCAACCACGGGAAGGTCCAGAGGCACTGGGGGAGGAGGACTGGGGGTACGGGGCCCTTTCTTCTTACTGTGGCTCCCTTTCGAAGGCCTGGATGGAAGACATCTATCATTACTTCCTCAGATATAATAATGATATCAGGTACTTGCATTTTAAATGGCCAAAACATTCCACATATGTTGACATCGTGGCTCTAGACTGCTACCTGGTAGTTTCTGAAACAGGCGAGGACACCAGTGCCTTCTTCTCTTTCTTCCCAGAGCCTGAGCCTTTGGTTCCACTTTTGTGTTTTGGGGATCCACTTGCCTTCCTGGGTGAAGGTGAATCCTTATTGCTTAACGGCTCTGGAGAAGCCTGAGGATAAGGAAAACAGTTCAGGTGAAATTAAAATCAGAGATGCTCCCAAAGGACTTTCAGAGAGGACTGTGAGCTTTCATGAAGGTAGAGAACTGTTGCCTGAAAATCAGTGATGTGACATACCTTCGGCATGGCGGTGGCTCTTGTTTTGGCGGGGGTCTCCTCCTTCTTGATGACAATCTCATCCCTCTTGTCCAAGTTCTCCAACTTCATCAGCTCACGTTGGATCTTCTGACGCTTCATCTCTAGGGATAACTCGTAGTCGTAGTCACCGATATCTGAGTCTTAAAGTGGATAAAAAAAAAAGTTGAAATGATAGAATCTGACATGCTGAAGTCCATACTTAGTTCAAATCAGAAGAAAAGAAAAAGGGACAAATCATCAGGTCACTTGAATAAAGCAAGCTAACCTTCACGATTGGTTTCCCACTCTGTGGGCTCTTCTTCACTTGCTGGGGTGCGCTCTTTTGTGATTTTGATATCCTCCTTTTCCCTGTGTCTGCCTCTGGAGGAGTCTCTCTGCTGTACATGGATACAAACACAGATGTGAGGATGACACACACATCACTTCCTGTTTTTGTGTTCTCCATAGGCTATATAGGGGTTGCAATTCAGGTTTCAAAAATAAATCACATTCCAATTCAGACTATAGAACAGCTTCAGATTTGGGGTCAGTGGGTCAGAGACTGTTTTTGTTTTAAAATAAAGCATTGATGTATTATCACCATTACATGTTTTCTTTAAAAACTAGACTGAGGGAAACTCACTCTCGCTGGGGGGGATGTGGGCTCGTCTAGGTCTCGCTTCAAGTTTTCTGGGTCAACATCCTGTCTTTTATTCTTCATCCTCTCCCGCAGATCACCTGTGGGTCTCTCGGCTGACCTGCTCCATAAAGACATAAATACACACCGTGTCAATATTATGACCCTTGTGATCTTAATTTGGAGAAGCCACACAAAAAAAACGTGATTAAAAAGGAACAGGAAATCCATATACCTTAACTATTACATAAAATCCTGATTGCCAAAATGAATAAAACAAGCCGTCTTACCGACTAAAGCTAAATCCTTTGCCTCGTGGCTGAGTTCCATGTGTGTAGCGACAAGTGTTGCCGTAAATGCAATTACCGGTCTTCAGCCAATTTCTACAGTGACTCTGAAAGAAAACATATACATGAGCCCCATGAGATACTGCAACATCCACTAAAATAAAACATCACAGTAGAAACAGTAGGAGGATGTCGAGTTCTGGATAGAAAACACAACATGTTTTATTATCTGTTGGGAAAATACTGAATGTTCTCTTCCAATATGAGAGTAACATGATAACAAAGGTATCCCAACTGTAGCTGTGTACATGACAGGATGTATGATTACCTAGAAGAGCATCAGGACTGTTTGAGGCATATGATAGCTATGTGATTAACATGATGATTCAGCCTCTATGGAGATAGACATATGACAAGCATGATCATTTCTGACGTGGAGCTAATCTGAAGTAAACATTGAATACTGCTTTCTATTCCTCCATCTTGTGACTGTGTAACTCCCTCTCTTGGATATCAGCATGTGAAGGACACTGCTCAGGAACTAGTTGATGCTCTGTATGTGACTTCCATTCTGGAGAGGATCACAAATACATGGATCCTGAGATTGAAGCTCAAGCCGGTGACCAGTGATATTTTTCTAACAGTAGTAGTAGTTGCATTAGTAGTAGTAGTGGTAGTAGTTAGGGCTGTGCGATTATGGCAAAAATCATAATCACGATTATTTTGGTCAATAATTGATATCACGATTATTAAATACGATTATTCATTGACTTTGAAAACATCCATTTATTGAACTTTAAAACAAATACAAATAATAATTTGAACAGTATCTTATAACTGTTGATTACCCTGAACGTATAATTCAACTGAAAAACTTTAAATAAATAATATCAAAATAATAAATACCAATAAACAAGATCAACAAATATTTTGGAGCGCACTTCCAAAAGCTACTAATCATATATAAATACAAATAAATTAGACCAAAATAAATTAGATCAAATATGTTGCAGTGCACTGTCACAACCTAGCAAAGCAAAATAATTGTTTTATTCGATTATGTTGTTTTCGTAATTGTGGCATGCCAAAATTGTAATTGCGATTAAAATACGATTAATTGCACAGCCCTAGTAGTAGTAGTATAAGTAGTTGTAGTAGTAGTAATATTAGTAGTAGCATGTGAAGGACACTGTTCAGGAACTAGTTGTACCAAATACTCTGTATGTGATGACTACTTCCATTCTTGAGAGGATCATAAATACATGGATCCTGAGATTGAAACTCAAGCCGGTGACGAGTGATATTTCTTCAACATTATCCTACTAAAGAAGGTGCTCCCACTTAAGGAGTCCCTAAACAAAAGACATGATAACTGACTCTCACGATGGGGTGAACTTACATCAGCAGCATTACTCCCAGTGCTGGGGCCAAGTCTCTCAAACACACTGGGCCGGCGGGAGGGGGCGGCGGGGTTGCTGCTGCTGCTGCTGCTGCTGGTGGCGGGGGTGCTGCTGCTATCAGATATGGTTTTTGAATTCTCCACTGTTACCTTCCGCCTGATCTTGGACATTCTGCAGGACTGGAAAAAGGACAATGTTAGTAAGTAATTATCTGCATCTATTCGTAGCAAATAAGTAACTTGAAACATCTGTGATGCAACACACATATTTGTTTCTTGACAAAATGCAAGCAAACGTGATCACAGTGTGTTTTAGAGCCATTTTAAGACAATATCCTGAATTTAATATTTACTTACTACTACAGTTTAATAGATTAATTGTAATTGTTGTGTGACTACATTTCAGTGCCTGTTTTCATTCATTCTGAGAGCAGTGCTAACATTACTGATTTTAAGCAACCTAGAGCGTGATAAATCCAGAAACTATATTAGATATTAGATAATGTATTCATAATTTGACAAAAATATTTTGTATTTATGTTTAAATTATGTTATTTGTATTATTTTTGGTGAGGGGGAAACAAATAGATAAATAAAGCGTCTGTAATAAAGCAACCTTCTTGAAAGACTGTTATCTATAAATATGTAGCCACCCATGCAAAACATGCACATGATTTGCCTGAGTTTGTGCAGCGGCTCCTTCTTTGACAGTCTTGCAGGCTTAGCTTAATGTTGCTAAAGTTCCTGGCTAACTGCATGTTATTATTTAGGTGTTTAATATTCATACACGTGTTGTATGTAAGATTCTTACGTGTTGCAGGGTAATTACAATCTGTTTTGTTTTGCATGGTTCATTCAGAAACAAACAAGGCAACAAAAACAAATGCTAAAGTTAGTTAGCCAAAGAGCTAATGACTTCATGCTTTATGTTAGCGCAGGGCCTTCTCTTTCAGGAGCGTGAATGCTAGATTCTGTGCAGATAAAGGAAAACATGTCTTACCCAAGATAATAATTCGGCGTCGCATCTACTTTATTACAGGTAGTGGATTCAGCACTTGTAGAAATAACAAGGCTTATTCTTTAAAGGCAGAAACTGCCCTGAGTGGCTTCATATTGGCGAAGGGTGTGCATCATATGCGCCTTTCTTCTTCGGTGGTGTGTTTGAGCGCTGTGTTAATGTCTCCTTTGGGCTTTTATTGTGTAGGGGCTTCTCGTACTGCACTTGGCTTGTTGTCATTATACATGTTTCTTCCTAAAATATATATTTGTAAACCCTTGTTCATCGTGGCTTATTAATAGTCCCATTGTTACTAATTATAGCGCTCAATGTTCAGGAGATTCAGTAAGGTAATTATTTAAAAGCTTGTTGGCAGGCTCTGTCTTATTTTGAAAGCTTTCAGCGGAAGTATTATCAGCCTTTTGTTGCTGCTGGAGATATATAGGCTAACCCTATATCTCTTTATACGGCTCTGGAGAATGTTAATTAAAATGGTGCTGCTAAAGATTTCAAGCAACGGACTACAAAAATATTGCAGTTCCTTTACATAAGCCTCATTGAAATGAGTAGCAACAGGGACCCCTGCTGTCATAAACACAAAATGCACGTCCTGTAGGTCACATGGAACTTTCCCAGCACTATTAAGTTCCTACCCGGACCTGTTTCACTGTTGTACGTCAAACAGGCATGGCGTCCTTCAGCTAAAGACACAAGCGACATACGTGTATCCATTTGCCCTTCCGTATACAGTTGCGTTTTTATTTATTTATGTAGGTGTAGACATATATATATTTTTCACAATGGTGACCAGGACCGTGTGTCAAGTTCTCCAGCGCCGTGAGTAACGTTAGCATTAGCATGTGAGCTATCTAGGTAGACATGTAATTTGAAGGCTGGATAAATAGACATTTTGACATGACATTTAATGCAAAGTGTAATTCATAACAATAAGCACGCCTCTATTCTACTAAATGTCTCAGTAAATTATTCCAGTACGTAGAGTAACGTGCAAGGACCTCTCCTTAATTGAGAGCCAGTGTTATTATTTAATTTTACGAGAGCCTACACTTCCCATAATGCAACTCCATAGATTGCTTGGTTCCTACCCCTCACTTTGAAACACAGATTTATTTTAGAACAATTTAGTTTTAAGCCCAGATATTGATATGACACGAACATAAAGTAGAGTCTTCATTATATATATTTACTTTGCATTGGCACTTTTTATACAAGGGGAATTCAAAGTGTTTCATCTGTTTGCATCTTACAAATTATTGATCTAATATATCATATTCCATTTACTTGTATATAGACTCTTAATGCACGATTGCTATTCTATTTTATTTGTATTTACTTGCACTATTGTATCTGTTTTATTTGTTCTATGTCCTATATATATGTTGCACTGTTGGAGGAGCCTGTGACCTAAGTCTTTCATTGACATATCTACACTGTAGCTAATGTGCAAATGACAATAAAGCCTTGAAGTGCTTTTGAATAAGTCCAGAAACTGCATCCCTTTTTCTGCTAGGTTCCATCATTTCCTCCTCTTTCTCTTCACAGGCTTTTCATCTGCCGCTGCAGCCCTGCGTGCTTCGCCTGCAGACATCCGCAGCCAACGCAATGCCGTGTTCTCCAGAGAGCAGGCCCGGCAGAGAGCTCTGTACCCCCGCATCGAGAAGATCGAGGTGTCCATGCAGTGCCCGGGGCTGGAAGGTACTCTGCTGGTCATGAACAGAGGGATGTCCACTCCTCTGAGCTGCGCCCGGCGTGAGTTTTTATAAAAGAACTTACATGGAGATGTACATAAAAATCACACTCGCCTCAGTTTACAATCCACTCAAATCTACACGTTATTGCTCACATACATACATTACCCCTTTCCTTCTAAGTCTTGTCAAATAAAAAATAAATACAGACATTCATTTAAATTCTCTGACCTTTCCCTGGGTAGTCGGTACAGACAGGTATGCTTACAAATCTGAAAAAAAGGTGCTAGTTAAAATTAAATATAAAAGAAAATAATCAGTTTTAAGGGAATGTGGATGCAATTAATCCACGATAATGTGTCGCTATAAATAAACACTTGTTTTGCACTCTGTGTTTCCCTCAGACTTGACAGAACATTATGTGGACAACTCGGCTCTGGCCCTGGTGGACGGGGAGCCGTGGTCCCTCCACCAGTCCCTCACTCACTCCTGCTCTCTCAACCTGCTCACATTCAAAGACAACGATCCAACAATCGCCAACCAGGTACTATTACCACGAGAATATACTTAATGTGATAGGATTTCAACATAGAGTCTCCAGCTTTTTCATGATGACTTGAAAACTGTGAAAGAATTATGAAAGTCAGGGAGTTCAAGGGGAATAAAGGCATTTGTTAAGTAGGAAATGGCTTTATTTGTTTCAGTACATGATGGTGTTTTAATACTTTTTTCATTTCTTATCTTAAATGATATGTTTACTCACGTCTTTTCAAGTCTATATTCATACTCACTTGTCCACGGGTGATGCTAAAGTGGGTCAATATTTACCGTTATCTCTCTATTGAAATGTATATGAATCCAACTGAAGGTGTTATCGCTATCTGCACTGTAAATCCACGTCCATCACAAAAGACCAACACATATACTGTACACACTAACAATTTGGATGTCTCAAAGCTTCCTTAATTGGTTTCTTTCAGCTATTAATGGCATAAGAATGTTCCATAAGGGATATGATGAAAAGTGTTTGAGATGTTCGTGGTTTCCTCTCATTTCAGGCCTACTGGCGCTCCTGCTCCGCCCTGCTGGGTCAGGTTCTGGAGACTGCCTTCAAAGAGGACTTCACTGTGGAGCTGCTCAGCACAGTGGATATTGAGTGTAAAGGAGATCCTCTTTGTTTCTCCTTATTTACCCTAACCAAACATCAGAGACCTGTAGTATTAAAACAATCTCTGCCAGGAACTTTAGAGACAGAATTGAAGGTTAGATGCAGCGTCTGTCTTTGCCCGTTCTGCTAGACTTGTTATGTCTAAGTACAATTATTTTGGCTCCTTAAACATAATTCCTGGCGGGCCATTTTCTCATAACGTTATTGAAAGATGCATGTTGACTCTGGTGAGAGGTGCTGTGGTGTTTATTTGTTTCTGTTTCATTTGCTGTAGGCACTGCCGGGGCTTTCTGCTGTGACGTGGTGCTCGACCCTCAGCTCGACTCATGGACTGCCTCTGAGGTGCGTATGTGGTCTAAAGTACAAATAAGCCTCTGCAGTCATTTCCCGTCTGTGTCTTCTTTCTAAGCTAACGTTTCCTTTTGTTGACAACAATTACATTTCATAGCAGGATATCTGTAAAAATAAAACAGTCATGTCTGATAGGAAAGCTTAATTCTGAGCTGAAAGCCATCGTTTCTGTTTACCATTAACCATTGACATCACTGTAGCAATATATGACCAATAGAGGTCAGCAAAGCTGCCAGGTCTTCAGCTCATGTTCAGTTCCTTTAAGAAGTGATCTTCCATTTTTGAATATCAAATACTCGTCTATTGAAACAATATCAATGATGCTCCTTCAGGCATCATTTGACCTTAATGCCGACGTTGCTCTAATGTTGCGCTGACACCCTCCTGTAAACTAATGCTGTCTTTAGCCATATTTTGCAAAATGAGTCTCTATACTTGGTGTTTACGCTACCACACATGCATATTCAAATGTATTTAAATGTGTGTTTTGTGCGAGGAAGAGAGTCCAGAGTGTACATTATTTATATAATCTTTGAAGTGAAGACTTAACTGGTCACCAGCAGTTGTAGAGATGGAATAGTGCAGATGTTTTTGTTGTTGTTTTTTACCTTGGATTACCAGATGCTTTGAGTGTTATAAACCAACATGGCGGTATCTTATCTCTCCAGGAGTCGCTGCGGTCTCTCACCCGAGGGGCCCAGCAGCTGATCCACCAGAACCTGGCCTGGGAGCCTCTGGTCGTGGTGTCCTCTGTGGCTCTGGAGGTCTTCTCACACAGCAGGTGCGCTTCATAAGCAACAGAACTGTCTAACACTGATACGGTTTACAGCTTTTTCACCATTTTCCAGCTGTTTCTGTACCTTTTCTAGCTTTAAACACCTCTGTGTCCTTCTTCTGCTGTCCTTGTTTCCCTCTCTGCATCGCCCCCCCACATAATAATCCTGCACACAAGCTGATCATGTTTTCTTTTTGTCATCCAGGTGTAAACAAGAAGAGGTGGAGCAGAAGGCGTCACAAAGTCCCACTGGCACCGTGATGCTCCACAGGTGACTGTTTTTTCACTTGACTTATTCCTGCGTTTGACTTTTGTTTCATTTCCACTATTTTTCTTAGTTTCCTATTTTACTTCGTAACTTCTTTGTGTGAAGGAGAGCTGATGAATCATGTACCTTCCTCTCTGTGTGCAGATGTGGTGACCATGTGCTGCTGAGTGCGGGCCCCCTGGTGGGCAGGACGGGCCTCTGCTCCCAGTACGATGTGACGGCCCTCCACAGCCTGGGGGGGGGGTCCCTTGGGCCTCCAGCGCCGAGCACAGGGCATCTCCCTGCCTCTGCAGATGGAGGTAGGATGTGTTTCTGATATGGTGATGGAAAGCACACTAATACACTAAAAGGAGACACTGTGTCAGGCTTTCATTTACTGTGTAAAAACCTTAATGTTTGACCTCTTGTTGTATTTGAAAAGATTGACCTTCCCAGTAGACCTGAGGCCTGTACTACGAAGCTGGTTCAACCTAACCTGGATATGTTTGAGTTAGCCGGTTGGCCCAATCCAAAACATACGCGCTCTCGCTAAACTGTACTACGACGCTGGTTATCAAGTGGATCGCTCAAGCCAGCCGTGTCCTATCTAGTTAGGTGCGCGTTCACATGAAAGGGGTGGTATCTGGAGCATTCGACCAATCACAAACATGGACAAGCGTACTGACAGCGCAGCGTCATACTTCCTGAATGAAAAGTGAACTTTAATATTAGTCAAATATGAAGAAGTTAAACTTTAAACATCCATGACTTAAACACTTTATCCAGGATAAAAGCCACATAGCTGCACCTGCAAGGTGAATACAGCTGGTAAAAGAAAAAGCGTTTGAATGCGTACATTAACAGGTTTATGAAATCACTGCCCCGTCTAAGACACGAGTGG